CTGTTCTGTCTTAGTCTGGAAACTTGTCCACCATGGTTGGCCCTGCCAGTATTTGAAATACTGGTGGCATAGCCTCAAGCCATAAGCCACCACAATATAACAAACTGACATACAAGTGATGAAAAGTTTGGTGAAGGTACAGAAAAAGAAAGAGGGTGAATGTTGTTGCTGTTGTTGCTGTTAGGTGACATCATGTCGGCTTCAACTCATAGCAACCCTATGTACAATAGAATGAAATTGACAGAATATCCAGTGAGAGGATGAGTAGTAAAGGTAAATTCCCCTTCTTGTTGCAGAGCACTAGTGGTGTAATGACTTAGCCTCTAACTGAAAAGTCAGTGGTTTAAACCCACCAGCCACTCAGCAGGGGAAAGATGTTGCAGTTTGTTTCCATGAAAATCACAGTCTTGTAAACCCTATGGGACAGGTCTACTCTTTCCTATAGAATCACTGTGAGTCTGAATTGATTTGACAGCCATGGGTTTTAGTTTTGGGTTTTGGATGTAGCTACCTAAGATTTTGTTAAGTAGTGAATGCCAGGATGGCTCCGGAAAATTTACTTAAAATGCAGTATTTGTCAGTATTGATTTACTTGATATATATTTTCATATTACTTGTGGTATATGATTTATCATAGTTGTCACAAACTATTTATTAAATAATGGATAAGTGAGCAGATATGAGATTGTCATCAGTAATTAGGTTGGTGCACTTTGGGAACTTGGTGGAAAGGAACATCTGGTGAGAGAGAAAAGCTCCCAAATTCAATCTGAAAAAATCACATCCATGGTAGTTTCTGTCCCATGGAGGAAATAAAAAAAAAGGATGACACAGGACCAGGAAATGTTTCATTCTGCTGTACTTGAAGGCACCTAACAAAAACAACAATGAATTTGATAGCAACAATTAAAAGTACATTACAGACTTAATTGTCTTATATTATATCGGGTTACTTTCTTTAAAAGAGAAAAACAAGATGACAGCAAGTTACAAGATGCAATAATTCCTCTTGGCTATTGGTGGCAATTTATTATTTAATTGTGGATTTCTATAAATATATATTGATATAAAATAATATTAATAATTTGAAAATTACAAACACCAAAGCAACACTTAGTCCTACATGATCTAAACTATCCAGTTACAGAACCAACAAATTAAATTGTTTATGGCAATGGTAAATATTGTCAAATGAGTTCTTCTGTTCTGCCAATATTAAAAATAAGAAGTACATTGAAAGCTACGTGGAAAAGTATATTTGAGAAGCAAAAATTCTGTTTAGTCTGAGTGTTTGATGAAATCAAATGAAAGTCATTTTAGATTACGGTGTACTATTTAAGCAGGAATTGAAGAAAATATAAAAAGTTTGCAAATCTTTTTGGAAAATAAACATTTACACAGAACAGAATAGAAATTGTCAGTCATTCAGTCTCTAGTTGTCAGCTCCTAGGTCCCTCTCTTCTCAAGCAGCATGAGTCTGCTAATGAGCGAAGAGGGCATATGAAAAGTCAGCTATTTTGTCTCAACATAGGACATTGAAATAAAAAAACATTCACTTCAGAGTTCCCTGCAAGGTTGGCCAAGGTTTTGGTAGGCCTACATGATTACAGTTTGAAATGTTCTGCAAAATTGTTATGAAATTCATACATACATGCCCATTCCCTTTAATTGTTTAAAAATAAATAAAAATAACCACTGCCACCAAGTCTATTCTGACTCAGAGAGACCTTACAGGAGAGAGTAGAACTTCCCACAGGGTTTCCAGGGCTGTAAATTTTTACAGGAGCAGACTGCCTCATCTTTCTTCCATGGAATGATTGGTAGGTTCAAGTTGCCAATCTCTTGGTTAGTGGCCCAATGCTTTAACCATAGCACCACCAGAGCTCTCTTTTTATTGCTCAGTAGTGTTCTATTGTATGGATATGCCAGAGTGTACATGATCATTTGTGTTGATCTCAATTTTTGCCTATATAAAATAAAGGTGCTATGAATATTCATGTACAAATCTTTGTGTGGACATATGCATTCAAGCTCTGGCAAGTTTTTGAAAAATCTTGTCTGCAACAAAGAGATAGTATTTTTACCTTCAAGATAGACGATATTGAAAAAATTCTAAGTTTTGGTGAGGATGTTAAAGAGCAGTTCTTTACATATTGAAGATACTTGAATTGGCACAAATCTTTTTAAAGGCAATTTGATCATGCCTATCAAAATTTTGAAAATGTTTATTGTCTATTCCAGAAGTTCCTTATAATTTACTGTGATATTTGGAAAATATTTACTTTCTGTGTTCCTCTGTTTTTAATGGATGGGAAGAGGATGATCATAATACTTCATGTGTAAGGATTATGGTGAGCATCAAGTGAACTAATTCATGGAAAAATGCTTGCTGTACCAAAAATATTTCCAAATTTCGTTATTATTTTATTGTTAGTTACAGGAATCGATTCTTCAGAAATACTTTGTCAAATATGTAAAGAATGTGTGTTTAAGGATGTTCATTACAATGATATTTCTTATCACTGAAAAGTATGGAATTAACCTAACTGTTCATCAATAGGGATTAGTTGAATAAATTTTGGTATCTCTGTGGGTGGCAATGTAGAGAAATGATGGATATGGGCTCTACAGAAGAGATGGGCTAATTTCCAGTCCTGCCCCTGTCCTTAGCTGTGGAACTTGGTCACATTCCTTAATATCTCCCTGTGTGGCTTAGAATTTTCAACTATGAAAAATAATAATATCCAACTTATAAGGGTTTGTTGAGCAATCACAGAACTTTTACATGCCAACCATTCAGGAAAAAACAGGTTGTAGTTGTGTTGTTGTTGTTATTTGCCTTTGAGTCGGACCCGACTCATAGCGACCCCTCCTTGGGTTTCCGAGGCAGTATCGCTACGAAAGTAGATTGCCTCATCTTCCTTCCGAGGTTGTAGTTAGCAACCCATAAATATTATAACCACCATGGAATATTCTGTGCCCTTTGTAAGCATAGGGGCAAATCAGCATGTACTGCAGTGAAAGGACACTCACTAGAAAAAGATTTTATGCATTACTATGCAGTATTTGGGGAGCTCTGGTAGTATAGTGCCTAAGGCGCTTGACTGCCAACCAGAAGGCTGGTGGTGCAAACCCATCAGCCACTCCTTAGAAAGAAGGTTGGGCAATCTACTTCCATAGTGATATCGCCTCGGAAACCCAAGGAGGGGTCACTATGAGTCGGATCTGCCTCGATGGCACATAACAACAACAACAATGTGCAGTATTTGTAAAATTGGAAAAGCAAATGATTCAACTACGGATCCTTAGATTTGGATGAAAATGTTGAAACATTTGTCAATTACTTTACTTAATCATTACAGATAGAGAAAAACAAAAGAGTTAAGTATATTCCAAGTTTTTAATTCAACTTCCTTAATTTTGATCTCAAATGGAAATTTTAATATATAAAATTTAAAATATCAACTCAACAAGGAAATAAAAATGAAAGTTAAAAAAATGAACACTTCTTAGCTTTTGAGTAATTTATTTGAAGTGAATGCAGGTAAGATGTATTATCTATTTGTACATATAAAGAATAACAAAAGTTAACTATTTTTTTTGAAAGATTATTGTGAGTGACAATATTGTATGGTTACCATTTTCTGAGATTATATTGAAATTACATTTACAGTGATTTAACATGACAAAAGTAGAACAATTATGGTAATAAGTGTACTTTGTATTCTGCACCATAAAATCACTTTAGGTACAGCAAGAACTCGTATCATATACAGGTTATCCAAATGATACTCAAATAATTTTATGAAATGTAAATTATATTAATGCTTTGCTTAAATTTTGCTTAAAATTTACTACATAATTACGGCTTTGCTTAAAAAACAAAGTGATTTTCATTTTGTGTAGAGAAACCAGAAACAGAGCAGATTTGCAAGCAAGGATAAATGAAAACACTTGCAGCTTCCTAATAAAGGTGATAGTCTGTCTTTCATACTAACTTATGTACGGTATAACAAGTAACCACTGAATGTAGTGACAGGGGGAAATTTGGCTGGAATAGTTCCTTTCACAAGTCGCAACCATACTTCCTGGCCAAAATTCAATTCTAGTAAGGCATCCCCAGTCAAAACCCTATCACAGTGTATTTCACTGTTAATATTTTCAGACTCAAATGTAAGCTTGTCTACTCCGTCAACCACTAAAAATCCTGAGATATGAGCACTAAATGACTCAATGGTATACTTAAAAACATACACGCCAAGATATGGAATTCTGAATTTTCCTGTTCTTGGAGTATATGAAGCTCCATAATTGACATCCAAGTTATTAAATAGGATAGGACCAGGTGTAGTCATTCCATATGTATGAGATGCAAAAAATGCCACCATCGGTGCATATCTGTAAGATCCTTTGGAAAAATCTGTCATAGAAAAAAAATGAAAAGAGTTAATTCTCATGTTTTTTTTTTTAATCTTATTTTATCTTTCCTTATATCTTTATCTTTCTATCATAGTTTTAGAAAATGTTACCAGAAGAAAAAAGGTCATCCATCAAATTTAACAAGGACATACGTGTCTGGATGCCTGCTCTTCTCTTTGCTGAATTATCCCCAAGTCATTTAGCCTCATGGAACTTCAGTTTCTCCAGAATAGAAGGAAAATAACACCGGCTACCTCCCTCATAGAAATGCCTCAAAGATTAATTTGCATGTGTCTTTGATCTCCCCAGAGCTAAAGGAATTCAAATGCACTATGATTATTATGGTATGCCAGAATGTTTTAAAGCCCCTTGCAGGAATTGAAGCTGACATGATGTAGAAACAATTTTCCCAGCATCTTGTCAAACAGTTTCTAGAGGCTCAAATGGAAACCAAATGAAGTAATATGCACTAGAAAGAAATAGACAAAAGCAATTTCCTGTATAATTAATGCCAAATGTACTTAAAAAAGCTGCGATTTAAAAATAGACTTAAAAAATGTATTCTTCACTATGCAGCCTATTATTAAGGTAAGCCAGATTTCAAATACGTCTTTTTATTTTCTGCTGTCATTAAAGATAATGTATTTTTAAAACTACACACATTTTTTTTGTATGAAAACCAGAAATGGTACACATTTCTTTTTCATTACTGTGCTTAAAATATATATAACAAACCATTTGCCAGTTCAACAGTTTCTACATATATAATTCAGTGACATTGATTGTATTTTTCAAGCTATGCAACCATTTTCACTGACCCTTTCCAAATCCTAACACCAGGAAATAGTACACTGTTGGAATAATTCGAATGCAACCAATGCTTATGAATCTAAATGGACAAAAAAGGCACTTTGTTTTACTCAATATAATTGACTATATTCTGACAGCCCTAACCTGGCAAAAAGGCAGTATTAGTTTAAGCTTCATGGAAGACATGCTGCTAAGCACATATGAAAGCCTCATTAAATGGCCATATCTAACATGAATCAAAGGTGTATTTCCTTAATGGTTTTTCTGAGGAGAAAGAATTTATAGCAATCAGATACAAACATTTGTATCTTTTTTAAAAAAGAGCCCTGTGGCAAAGTGTTCAAGTGTTCAGCCACTAACCAAAGAGGTCAGTGGTTCACACCCACCTGCCACTGGTCCGTGGAAGAAAGATGTGGCAGTCTGCTGTTATAAAGATTACAGCCTCAGAAACCCACAGAACAGTTCTACTCTGTCCTATAGGGTCACTCTGAGTCAGAATTGACTCAACAGCAGTAGGTTTTTTTTAAAAATTTTATTTTCTATTAAGATGCATAAGGAAAAGAAATTAAGGGAGAGGGGCAATACTGCTGTTGCTATATCAGCATTGAAAATTTCAACCAGTACATGTAAACCTGAGTTTACCTGACAAAAATACATTTCTGTGTCTAAATGAATATTTTACATTATTCAATAAATTTCAATGGTAAAAGGAATTAAACTTTATGTGACACTAGGTTAAGCAGACTTAAATATTCATTGATATATATATATATATATATAATTTAAAGTTTCTGTTTATGACCTTGAGTAAATCTGAGCATGCATCTACTTTTCTTACCTGGAGCTAAAGCATTTTCTTCCACCAGCTTCACAGTGCAGTTGTCACCAGAAAAAGGATGTCGGCAAGCACAGACAAAGCTAGTTCTTCCATTTATGCATGTGCCCCCATTCTGGCATGGGGACCTGCTACAGCCTGAATATGCCTCTGTTTCTGAAAAGAATCAAGACAAATAAAATGTAAAGATACTTATTTTCCTGATGTTCTCAAATAGTTTGCAGCAGAAAGAGAATACTGACTAGAAAATCAGATGAATGGGTTCCCAGGTCCTGGACACCTGCCAATGATGTCAGAGTACTGCGCATAAATCCTTTCATTCTGTGAGACCCATTTCCCTTCTGGGAGATAATTCTCTGATCCATTGCATTTATTTGGGTGAGAATATTCAAATTTTGTTCAACTGTAGAACAGAAGAGACTATCTAGACACAGAATCATGTGTACTTAGAACTGGTACATCATAAAGATATTGTTTAAAATATAATGGAGAAAAAAGATCTGCTTAATAAATAGCAATAAGATAGTTGTGTATCTTTAAAAACCATGAATTCATTGTGTACAAAAATACTAAATGTAAAAAAAGCCAACATCACAATGGTTATGTTGGTATCAATGGAGAATACCTTCATAGGGACTTAAATTCTTGGGAAGTTTTTCAAACCAAAACAAAACAATACAAAACAAAATAACAGAAGCCATAAGAGAAAACATTCTTAAATTTGACCATCTAAAAATTAAGAGTCATGGACAATTAAAGCTATCACTCTCAAAATTCTTTGGTAAGTGACAGATTAGGAGAAAGGTTTTCATCAGACGTAACAATCCATAAACTATGAAGAACTGATTAATTCAAAGGAAATATAACTTTCTCCTAAAAAAAAAATTGGCAAAGGACATCAGCAGACAAGTTATGAATCAAAAATACAGATGTTCACTAAAATTTTAAATATATTTAACCTCACTTCTAATTAAGAAGTAATAAAATAATAACATTGTTTATATATCAGTGGCAAAATTTAAAAGAAAATATACATTGATGAAGATATAAGGGAAAATTTACATTATCACATAATGTTTTTTAGAGTTTAAGTTGTTACAGTATTTGACCATATTTGTTAGAATTAAGCAGTTTCATTTTTTTGAGCCAGGAATCTCTTCTGCTAGAATATATACTCCAGACATAATTGCCCATATGCAAAAAGACAATTACCCAGTGAGGTTATTTATGACATCATTTGCATTAGGGAAAAACTGAAAGACAATGAAATGACTATTGATGTGAAATTTGTTAAACAAATTACATGATCCTAAGGCACTTGACTGCTAACCAGAAGGCTGGAGGTTCAAACCCACCAGCCACTCCTCGGAAGGAAGATGGGGCAATCTACTTCCGTAGTGATA